TGTGACACTGTAGTGTTGCACGGCCAGATACGGCTCAGCTGACTCAGATAAGGAGATATATGATACATTATGATGTGATATGCCGCGGACTGTACTTCATGTTACTCTGATCCGGTTACTTATGTTGTGGCAGATATTTAAGTAAGCTTTCTTAACGCTAATGTTATAATAGTCAGATTGCTCTGAAGATGGGAGGTGATATTCTATTAATGTTCACGTTCACACAGTCAGTTGATTTTTGCCGGCCGTCTTTCCTGCAACGGCAGCTTTTCTGTATTTCCTTTCTCCTGTAATATGACTTGATCGCTTTAAACTCCGCACACTGAGCTCTGATTGGTCAGCAGGCAGTGCTTTCACTGAGTTGAGCTCTTAGCCTGCAACCTAACCTGCTCCGGGGCAGGTTAGCCGCTCAGCATCAGTTACCATGGAGATCTAGCCCGCTAAAAAGAGAACCAGCTTCGTAGGACCGGAAAACCAGAGTTTTCCCTGAAGTTAACCGCTAAGAGAACATCCTGCTTCGTAGTACAGGCCCCAGGCCTAATGAAAAATGCCAAATATTTAATCATTTTCAGGATTTTAACCATTTAAAGGCCATTTTGAATACATCAAGTTATTATGTTGTTGTTGTGGTTGTTGTTGTTGCTGTTGCTGCTGACCTGCGAGCGGGCAGGTTGACCCCTGATTTTAGAGGCATTTACCACATGGAAATATTTCAGAATAAAAGCATGGTGTTATCAGATGAAAGTATATTGTCTAAAAAACAGCAATGCTTTTATTTGTATGTGATTATGAAGTTATTATGCTGTTGTTGTTGTTGTTGTGTTTGCTGACCTGCGAGCGGGCAGGTTGACCCCTGCAGCGAGCGTGGAGGTGCAGGTGAGGAGGCAGAGCGTCCCACAGGTGTACGCCTCCTCCAGCAGCCTCCTCTCCTCCCCCGTCAGCCCGCTGTGATGATAGGCCACTCCGTAAGGAACCGTCCTGCTGAGCACCGGACACACGGAGCCCCGCCCACATTCCTTCAGCTGGGAGAGGAGGAGGAGCTTCTGCTGCTCGTGGAGGAGCAGGAAGTCCCTGAGGAGCCAATCACAGAGGAGGCAATTAGAGAGGAGGGGGAAGCAATCAGGGAGGAGGGGGAAGCAATCAGGGAGGAGGAGGAACCAATCAGGGAGGAGGAGGAACCAATCAGGGAGGAGGGGGAAGCAATCAGGGAGGAGGAGGAACCAATCAGGGAGGAGGAGGAACCAATCCGGTAGGAGGGGGAAGCAATCAGGGAGGAGGAGGAACCAATCAGAGGGGATTTTGATTCTGTAAAATGTATAAATAATAGCTTTTATTCTATTTTATTTTTGTATTGCACTTTTTTTTCCTTTTTATGCTTTATATAAATATTTGTATTCTATTTTCTTTTTATATTTTACCTTGATTTTTTTTTATTGTACATTTGTACTTTGACTTTTTGCATTAATATATTTTTTTTCTTTTTTTTACATATGACATTTTTTGCATATTTTCAAAGTCACGTCACTCGCCCTCGGAGGTATCTGCACCCCTCACTCACTCTCTCTCTTTATACATATACATCACAAAAGGTTATAAATAATACATATTTTAAATATTAATTCATTAATAAAATAACTATAAAAATGTAAATAATAACAATGTGTTAAAGGTGGGGTAGGTCAGTTTGGAGAAACCAGCTCGAGTGCGCTAGAATTTGAAAATACACAGCCGGAAAAATCTGCCACTTCCTCACAGAGCCCCTCCTCCAACACACACGAACGCGCACATGACCAATGAGGGCACCAGATCAGTTTGTGCACAGATTGAAGGCTGACAGGCAGGTAGGCCATCCAGTTACTTTAGCCGGCTCAGATGATTGGTGGTGCTTTTTACAGTACCACAGCTTCCACAGATGATATTTTGTATGTATTTTTTGTCAAAGCACTTCAGATATTCATTGCTATCGGGATGTTAAGAGCATTCCATGGAATATAACAACAAGTGTATCTCGAGCCGGTTTCTCAAACTTACCTACCCCACCTTTAAATAATAATAAATAGATACACCCACTCACTTCCTGAGGTATTGATCAGGTATTGGTGTGTTTGTAATATTGAATGTAACCACTCACTTCCTGAGGTATCTGCAGATCAGCCCTCCCACGTTCTCACAGTTCTTCTTCGTGGGGCAGAAAACCAGACATGAGTGTTTTGGGATGACTTCGGTCACCATGGCGATGATGTGGTCCGGGTCCAGCTTCTGCATGGAGCTGGAGTACTGGAGTTTCAAAATAAAAGCATCAACAATATGTTCTGACGGAGTTTCAAAATAAAAGCATCAACAATATGTTCTGACAGAGTTTCAAAATAAAAGCATCAACAATATGTACTGACGGAGTTTCAAAAATAAAAGCATCAAATAAAAACTAAAACAGTATGTGAATATTGTCCATACCTTGAAGTTGAGGAGACGAGAAAATTTGAAGCAGTCTTCCTCCTTTGGGTCCACTTCATAGATGGTGTCTTGCAGTTTAACGTACTCCTTCAGCTGCACCTGAACACACCACGCACCATGGCTTCATTAAACACCTGTTGGTGGTATATTCATTAAAATCAGTATTTAACAGTAAACCTCTTACAGGCCGGAAGTCATTGCTGTAGTTTTCCGCTCTTAAAAACGTCTGCAGGTCTTTAATGTTTCCCAGCGTGGCGCTCATCCCGATAATCTGAGTGGATTCTGGAGAATAAAAACATAAAGACGGTTAATTAAAAGCTATTTAAGGGTTTAATAAGGAAGATCAAAGCGCCTCTTACTGGCCGTGTAGAGAACTTTAGCGAGCGTCATCTCAATGATGGCTCCTCTGCTGCCGTCGCCCAACATGTGAAGCTGCAACACACAGAGGAAACATAGGTAGGGCGGTGCATTTGGAGAACAGAATAAGTAAATGTTTTAAATTAATTAAGAAAAAGAAATAGGATTTTCTGAGATTAAAGTGGTACATTTTGAGGAAACGTGTAGATATCTTTTCAGAATAAAAAAGGGACATTTTAGGGACATAAATCACAATTTTACTAGAAAACAATAAAAAGACAAATTGGATAATGTTCTAGATCAGGGGTTCTCAAACCTTTGGTTTATGCGGACCACCTCATATGCAAACCGTAAAAATAAGTACATATATAAACGTAGTGTTAAAACGCCTATAGTTTTTTATAGTTAATTATAGACAATCAAAAGGAAATTGAAGCCTATCTGATACTTTTGTCGCACGTGTGACGTCTGTCTGCGTTGCTTGAGCTACGTCATTGTAAATAATCAGAGAGCGCTGCTTCTCTCCCTCTACCACGTCGCAGGTCACATATGAGGTGGTCTCCGAAAATTCTTGATAATAAAAAGTGGATTTTATTTAGCTTTTTCAGGTGGTCCGTGGACCACAGTTTGAGAACTGCTGCTCTAGATACAAGTTGTCATATTTAAGATTTCTCATCTGAAATTAATTAATTAAAAAAAACAAGGACATTTTGAGATTAAAGTCGTTTTTTTCATATTTTCGGAAATAAAGTGGAATATTAACGAAAAATAAACTCACAGATGTACTAGGAACAACCTTTGATAATATCTGAGAAAAAAAGTTGAAAAGATTCTGTAAAAACTGAGATTTAAGATTACATTTATGATAAAAAAAACATTGATATTTTTTAGATTAAAGTCGTTAATTTAGGAGAAATATTAATTTAGGGGTAAATCACACAATATTTTCTGAAACAAAGTAGATTATTAACGTAAAAAAAAACCTTCCTCCCCACCTCGTCCACCACCACCAGCCCCAGGTCGTCGATCCTCTGGTTCTCGATCAGCGAGTTCACGAGGCTGTGGGCTTTTTCTATCGTCGCGACGTAAAGAGACCTCCTGTCTTTCCTCTTTACGGGGGGGAACCTTCCTTTGCTGCCTGCGTACTCCTCCACCAGGAAGTCCAGCTCCACGCCAAAGCTTGCCAACCCTCGCACCTTCAGAGGAGACAGGAAGGAGGTCAAAGAGGGAGGAAAGAGAGGGTTTTAGAGGAAAGGCGTCCCACAGGGCTCTAATCCTGGTCCTCTCCTATTTACTGCAATATCATCATTTCTACCAAACGGTAACAAACGTTTCTGTGTAGATGACACCGTGTGATCCTCCATATGGAGTCAATGGAGAAATGCAGGGAAGAACCTTCAACTCTGGAATCAGCACTTTTGGTGTCCTTGGCTTAAAGTCGACTTACATTTTCTTTTTTTTTCATGGATATTTATTTTTAATTTACTTCAACATTTTTTTTGTATTCCTCTTAACATTTTCAATATTTACTTATACCATGTTTTATGTAATTTAAATTAGATATTTAACTTACATTTTTTTAATTATATAATTAAATTATATTTCAGATTTTTCTTTAATATTAACTTATTTATTATTCTTGTTTTTATTTCTTCTTTATTTTTCCACATGTAATTATAATTTTCTTATTATATTAAAAAATCTTAAGAGTTTCAATTAATTATACATTTTAGTAATTCTTTTTACCACATATATTAATTTTAAACGTTAACATCTCAATGTTTTTGTTATTATTTAATACATGTATTCATATATTTATTACTTATTTAGAGTTTTTTTTATTCCTCGTTATATTTCCAAATGTACCGTCTTCCTATTCTTTCATTATTATATTCTTTTACAGATTTATCTTTTTTTCATGAAACTTATATGCAAACTCTTTCTACAACAGTGTTTGTTCTGCACCTCTTGATGCTCCCTTCCCCTGTCCTCCCTCCCTTCTCCTGTCCTCCTCCCTTCTCCTGTCCTCCCTCCCTTCTCCTGTCCTCCTCCCTTCTCCTGTCCTCCCTCCCTTCTCCTGTCCTCCTCCCTTCTCCTGTCCTCCCTACCTTCTCCTGTCCTCCCTCCCTTCTCCTGTCCTCCCTCCCTTCTCCTGTCCTCCTACCTTCTCCTGTCCTCCCTCTCTCCCTTCTCCTGTCCTCCCTCCCTTCTCCTGTCCTCCCTCCCTTCTCCTGTCCTCCCTACCTTCTCCTGTCCTCCCTACCTTCTCCTGCACCAGAGAGACGTACGGCAGGATGAACAGAGCGTCCTTCTTCCTGCAGAGCAGCTCTCTGAGGATCAGGATCTCGGCCACCAGAGTCTTTCCTCCGCTGGTCGGCAGCGAGTAGATCAGGTTCTTCCTGCGCTGAACGGACGGCAGGTTCAGACACGTCTCCTGCCACTCTGAGACACACAAAACAATATGTTAAAGTAATACTTTGGGGTTTTAAGAGTCCAACAACGGAAAATACATCACTAAACTGTTTGAAAGGCAATCAATTGAAGTCCTTTTTAAAGCAAAACAATCTAGGATTATAAAATGGCTCTGAGACACAACACACTACGTTTAAGGAACAGGAAATTATTTAGCAACAGATTTAAAAAGGCAATTAATTTCTGTTTATCTCATTATAAAAAGGGTAAAAAATAGATATTTCCTGCATAATCTGTGAGAATAAAGTGAAAAATAAAAACAACAACAACGAAACAACAGAAATATGGAAATTCTCTGACGTTCTGATTTATTTTTTGGGGAAATTTAAAGATTATTTTTCTCCTGCCGCTCTGAGACAGAACATAACTTAGCAACAGATTTGAAAGGCAATTCATTTATGTAATTTTTAAAGCAACGATTATCTGATCATAAAAGCAATAGATATTTTCTGAGATTAAAATTAAAAAAGAAAAAAACGGGATAATCTGTGAGAATAAAGTGAAGAAATAAGAAAATAAAAAGTCAGAAATGTATAAAATAAACAACAAATAAAGTTCTCTGACTTTCTCATTTATTTTCTGGGCGGTAAATTTAAGGGGGGAAACACAAAAGAAAAAAAGATATTGTTTGAGATTTAAGTAGAAATGATGGAGAAAAAACTCACACATTCATTCATGAGTAATTCAAGTTAATTACAGTGGTCTTTTCCAAGATTGAAGTTATACATTCATCAGAAACTGCTGATCTTCCTACTAGATTTTATTTTCCATACATTTTGTAAATCCTGCCGTCTCCCTAAGTCTCGCTGTCTGTTAGTAAAAAAGGATGGTTTTAGTCAAATAAAGAGTCTAGTCATTTTGTAGTTAGCAGATAACCAGAGGAGGTCACATGGTACGGCAGGATTCCTGATGGTGTTAGTCAAAGAAAGTTTAGTAGTCATTTCACCGTATAAGCTCTGGATCCCCTTCAGCCTCAGCATCAGCTCCTTGACTCTGGACGGGAGCCCGAAGAAGGGCCCGAGGTCGGGGGTCTTCTCTTCAGAAACTTCCTCCAACGCCTGCATGGCGACGGAGATTTCCTCCGAGAGGACGGCCTCCTTTAAAGCTGCGCTGCGAGACGCCATCGCTGGAGAGGCTGCGTTACAAAGCATCGTCTTCTTCAGAGCGTCCGCCACGCTCCTCCTCCTCGATGGCCCTCCTCCTCCTCCTCCTCCTCCTCCTCCTCCTCCTCCTCCTCTCGGGGGTCTACTCTCCTCTTTAGTCCTCAGAGGGGTTGAGGTCTGCAAAAAAAATAAACTCCAAATTTCTTAACTTTTTATTTTCTTTTTATTCTTTTACATTTCAATTTATTTGGAAAATATTCTTAATTATTTTATTTAAATTTGAACTTTTTTTGAAAAGATTATCAAAATATTCTTAATTCTTAACTTTTTTAGAAAATATTTTTTTTCCGATTCCAAAATATCTTCACTTTTGCTCAAAAATATTCTGTCTTTTATTTTTTTACATTTCAACTTTTTTAGAAAATATTCTGTCTCTTTTTCTTGTCATAAACATTTTATCTTAATCATTTTTCAAAATATTCTGTCTCATAAATATAAAAAGCTGTGAAATTCTAAAGAAAGCTTCACAACCTCACGGGGCTGATGTCTGCAACATATTATTATTAAATATAAATATTCCAAAATGTCTTCCCTTTTGCTCAAAATATTCTGTCTTTTATTTTTTTACATTTCAATTTATTTGTAAAAATGTTTTTTTTTTTAAAACATTCTAAAAATATTCTGTCTTTTACTTAAAGTGGACCTATCATGCTATATTTTAATAACATAGTTAGACCCTCCAGAAAAACGCGATTCTGCGATCGCAGAATTTACCGCATAATCAGCAAAATGGCGCAGATTTTTAAAAAGCCGCATATTTATCAACAGGCCGCATAATCCCCGCATTTTTCCACACAAAGTTGAGAAGAAAAAAAAGTTAACTCGTCTTGACGTGACGTCATCAGCTCGCGCATCACAGAATGTAAACAACACTGTATAGAGCTCATTTACCAACGAACATTTCTACTAAAGACCGGGCAAAAAGTGGGGGGAAACTATTCTGCACCCCGTGCAACTGTGTGTTGCAGCATAAGAGAAAATCGACGGTGGCGACCAACTTTGATTCATTCAAACATTCGAAAATGCTTTCTGCTGCTGCGGACAAGAAAGCCATTCAACTCCCGTTCACCGAGGGATCAACCTCCAAAACCCTTTCGAGGGCTACAAGAAACGAAGTGAGTAGCCTACAAGATTGAAGCTGGTCAGATAACGAACGAGTAAATGAAAACAGAATGAGGCGGAGAAGTGTGTGTGTGTGTGTGTGTGTGTGTGTGTGTGTGTGGGAGGGTTAAAATAGCCCAATTGCTTTTACAATAAATAAACATTGAATGTGTTTAATTGAATAGTAAAGGGGTTTAACGTTAGTGGCAGGTTGTGTGTGAGAGAGAATAAATAAGACAGCCCAATATTTAAAAAAATGGTTATTCTTTTCCCCCGCATATTTAGCATATTTCGCAACTTTCCGCATATTTCCTAACTTCCCGCAATTTCGCCGCATAAAATCACATAAAACCCCGCATGTTTAATCGCATAATCAAGGATTTTAGCCCGCATAATCAAGGAATTTAGCCCGCATAATCAAGGATTTTTGCCCGCGTTTTTCTGGAGGGTCTACATAGTGAAGGACCATACCTATATAAGGCATATTTATACTTTTTATTTTTCAAAATACCAAACAGATCATGAATTTAGCCATTCCTCATTTCGCTCAATTTAACACTGTCTTTGCCTGGGCTGATTCTGTGAGAACAGCACCATCTACAGGCCTGGCATATGTACTACAGCGTCTCCAGCGCTTTCCAACGGCAATGTCCGTGGCTGTCTCCTCCTGATTGGTGGAGTTGGCCCAATAGCCGTAGCGCCACTTCTGTGACATCATAAAAGCGTTCAAATCTGGATCAGTCTGTATCAGATCCGTTGCAGCCCCTTTTTAAGAGATTTGGGTATGGAGGAAAATAGAGAGGGTTGTGTTTTCTGACACCTTGGCAGTCTCAGGGAACACCGGGAACACATATTCATGTAGAAAAGACGTACAAAAGTGCATTTTGCATGATAGGTCACCTTTAAATGTTTACATTTAAACTTTTTTTGAAAATATTCTCAAATTATTCTGTCTATTTAAATTTGAACTTTTTTTGAAAATATTCTCAAAATATTGTTAATTCTTAACTTTTTTTGAAAATATTCCAAAATGTATCTTTTTTTTTCTGATTCCAAAATGTCTTCACTTTTGCTCAAAATATTCTGTCTTATTTTTTTACAATTCAACTTTTTTAGAAAATATTCTTTGAATATTCTGTTTTTCTTCGTATATACACTTTATCTTAATTATTTTTCAAAATATTCTCCAGTAAAATGTGCGACTGAATGCTGATTTTAAACCCATGTTGTGTTTACATAAAAGATACTTCTGTATAATCTCACCTTTGTGTTTCTGAGCGGCGTGGAGGTCTGATCTCCGCCCTGCAGACGGACCCTCGTCTCCTGGACCTGATCCTTGAACTGTTGCATGCTGGGAGGAAGATCTTCCTCTCCCATGGCGTCCAGGATGGAGTCTGTGAGCACGTCTTCATCTGTCATCGTCCTCAGGTTGGTGAAGTCTCTCTGGACGTCTCTCTGCCTCTCGCTCTGCTCAGCGTCGTCCAGCCTGTCGAGCAGCGAGCTGTCCTGCAGGAGGCTGTCGTAATCCCCGAACAGATCCTCGCTGTCGCTGCAGAACAACTGAACACAAGGTTCAAGGTTTCATCCTCATGTGTGCAGAGCCACAGTGTAGATATATCAATGAGGTCACAGGCTCCTCCAACACAGCAACACAATAACACAGATACAATAGTGCAAGTAAATACAATAAAATAGAATAGAATATAAATAGTGCAACAATAGTCTATAGACAAGTAGTTAGTGTTTCCCCTATATACAAAGAGTAAATGTAACATCCTTTTCACCCCGGTTACACTTTTCATTTGCCCTGTACGGTGGGCGCTGTAAGTGATGAAAGTGGGGGATGTTGGCTTATCTGGCACCCGCAGCTCACAGCCAAAGTGCGAGCGTGGGAGCGAGAGAGCGAGCGAGGGAGCGAGAGAGAGGGCGCACCGGTACCGGCGCTGTTATTAGAATCTGGTGCTAGCTGCTCTAACGGATATAAGAAGTAGATGTTTCTACAACCAGGGTGGAGGAGAGCTCTCCTGTCTATTAGATAAATCCTTTTTTACAACCAACAACAGCTGGGAATCAATACAAAGAAAACGATACAAACTTCATCTTAACTTAATGCATGCACATTTTACAAAATGCAGACAACAACAGCATTTAAAAAAAAAAACAAAGAATCATAATTATTTTTTTGATGTGAAAACAACAACATGGATAACCCTTAAAGCTTATAATCCAGCTGTTCACCTGTCCTACCTCTGCAGCAGGTTGTTTTTGCTGTTGTTGTTGTTGTTCTGCCATGATGCTGCTCAGCCTGCAGATCTTTGGACATTTCTCAGATCCTCTCTTCCTCTCAGGTGTCATCTGTGAGCTATCGCGAGATCTCTTCCTGGACGAGACCCGTTTGATTCTGATGTCTCGTTTCTCAGCAGAATTCATCACAACAGCTGGTGCTACATGTCAATAAAACCTCCAATAAACACAAACAACTACACTAGGAACACAGCTGAGGCTCTGCAACACACACCTGTACATATTAAATACTTCAAACCTGAATTAGATAATATTTAGCTCAAGAAAAAAGCACTTTAAAGCCCATTACACGTTAGCTAGTAAAGCGGTTTTCTTACTCCTGGCAGTTTTTTCTCTGATGTGTTCCTTCTGCGACATTAACAGTCTCCTAAAACCCTGTAAATCACCTCAAACTCCGGTGAAAACGTATAGAAAGTCTGGCATAAAAAGCATTTTCTTGTATTGCTTGAAGCTTCTGTTTTTAACGTCAACAGCTCCGCGAGAATCACGTTTGAATTTGTGAAGAACAAATCCAACGTCAGAGCAAGAGAGGAATCCCTGCGTCTCTTCCGGTTTCGGTTGTCGGAGCTAGCAGCGCTAACCGGGATAGGTTCCCAAATGTAGTGATTCATCGATAGAAAACGTTCGATAAATTACCCGAAAACCAAGCTGATTACCGCCACATAGCAGACATGTGTTATCTGCTTTATTTTCTGTCACTGTATCTTCCTGAGAAGTACATGTTAGCAACATGTTAGGAACATTCATAGTTTCCGGTTGAAAAGTCTCCCACAAAGTAAAGCCGATATTTAGATATTAGATTTGATATTTCACTCATATAATCATCATCTTATTTTATTTCCCTTTGTTGTTTATATTCCAAATACGAAAGCGTTTTAAAAGGTTGGTTAAATCTAAATGTGAGAAGATTAATACGTAATGTTGATTACGATGGTCATTTTCTGGGGTGATTACTGTCTTGTGCTGTTATTTTGATCTTTGAAACGGGGGTAACATTCAATCTGTTCCTAAAATAATACAAAAATAGACGTAAGATTAAATATTCATGAGAACACAAAACCATACATTTCATATCATTTGTATATTCACCAACACAGATATATAATATGCGTAATGTGTCTCTCAGTGAAATAGGTGGTAGGAACTAATAGTTGACTCAGTGAAGAACCCGGAGTTCCCGTCTGGTGGACATCTTCCGGTCGTGTGTCAGGTCAAAATGCTCGTCCTCAGAGGTTTAACGAGAATAAGAACAGTTTTATTACAACAAGGAAACACAGGTGAGACTTTATAACACCTGTATTAAGTGTTATAATGATACAGCATTCATTAAATGTAAAACTAACCGTTAATATGTGTTTATTAGGTGGAGTTAAGCTACGTGTTGCTAATGCTAATGCTAACATATGAGCTGTTGTTGATGTCATTTTTTATAATAATAATCATTTTTCTGCAGGTTTAAGAAGTCTCACAACAACCTCAAGTGTAGTCCAACCAAACGAGGACAGGGTGGGTAATTTGTATTTATTTATGAATAATTATTACATCACTAATAACAGGATTAGATTAATGTATTTGTATATTCTTTTTACAGCTCATTAAAATGGAAAACCCCTACAAAGAGCCTCAGAAAGGATGCCTGCTCTGCAATGTGACTGTAGACTTCAAGAACACTCAGGTACATAAAGCACCTTTGTGAGTGTCAGTGTGGGTAATAAGTGTGTGTGTGTGGGTAATAAGTGTGTGTTATAAGTGTGGGTAGAGTGTGTAATGTGTTTAGTTAAAGGTGGGTTTACAGGAGGGCGTGTATATGTTTCCATGGTCCTGAACTCCTCGTATATCTAGTGTCATTATTAAAAATGTCTGAGGTCTTTTCTTACAATCAAAATGCAGAATTCTAAAGAGAGATGGACGTTTCAAATGCATTTCAAACGGTGAAAATCTGTTTAGCCACTGTGAAAATATCCACGTCTAAAGAGAGAAATATCCACGAGATCCTTCGCCACTTTTCCAACAGTATGGCGGTATATGAACATTCCCATTATACGGTCTAAAGGTCATGGTACTCGGCATTATTTGGTACAAACATCCTAACCGTGTAGCTGTGGGATCAAACTGAACATTAAGGGGGTTTATTTAATATTTTTGAACAACAAGTGGAGCTCCAAAGGTCACAGGAAGTGTCTCAGTGTCCCTGTGAATGTATAATAATGTATTGTGTTTGTAAAGCACCTTTCATTGCTAAAAGTACTCCCAAAGTGCTAAACTCTGATGTGTGTTTCCTGTCAGCTGCTGTCTCAGTTCATCTCTCCGTACACCGGACGGATCTACGGACGCCACATCACACGTGAGAGACACCTGGAGCTGGAATATCTCCTCCGTGAAGATTCAACTCTGACTTAACGCTGCTTTGTGTTTCAGGATTATGTTCCAGGAAACAGAAGGAGGTGGCCAAAGCCGTGAAGAAATCCCACGCTTTGGGTACGTCTTCCTCACGCTGACCTTTTGAGGGGTTTAGACACTAGGAGCTCAAGGAGCCAGA